CAGTACCAACATGGAAGTTCGAAACCATCTGTAATCCCAGTCTTAGAGTATCTGGTGCCCTCCACAGGCACCAGGCACTCATGTGGCACACATGACGTTTGTGCAGGTGAAACATCCATACACATTTCAAATAAATAAAACCTCAAACTGGCCACATCTCTACGCACATATTCCATATTCTCTGAAGCCAGGGACTCAGGTGACAAAGGTCAGGTCACCTTAACACAGGCATCTCTTTAACCCTAAAGAAAAAAACCATTTGTCTCCAGAGACCTCATGTGGGATGAACAGTGCTGAGGACAAATTGGCATCTTTATCTTTAATATAACTGAGCTAAGCTTTGGAAGTATGGGAAATCCAGGGTGGGGCCCCCAGAGGAGTGTCAGGGAGAGTTATAAAGACCAAGAACAGACACAGCCTACATCACATTAGAGTCATTCATTTGCTATCTCTAGCTAAGAATTCCGTTTCAGGAAGGAGAATTAGTGGCCTAATCACTCTAAATCCTGATTCCCTAAGGCAATTTGCTAATCCCCAAAGGACCTGTCAGTACTGTTCCTTGATGGAACCGTAATGTGTCTGAGCCAGAGACACGAAACAGGCTTCCCATGTGAATAGGGAAATCATCCCATTTTGGACTTGTATAAAGAGGCATAGAATAGAAAAGGTATACCCAAGGTTTAAATTGCTGGGAAGAAATAACTGAACAAAAGAGATGAGAGTTGGGATGAGTGAAGTGTTCAGTGTTTTTAATTCCCAACAACGAAAGTTGGTGGTAATAATACTAGATTCCAGTACAAACTCTAGATCAATCATAGTCAAGCGAGAGTAGCTGAGACTGCAGGCCTCAGTGCAGATCTGTTTGAAAGAGAAGACACAATGAACGAGGGCTGGAGAGTTGGCTCAGTAGTTAAGAGTACTGCTTTTGCAGATGACCCAGGATAGTTCCAGTACCCACACTGGGCAGCTCACAACTGCTTGTAACTCCAGCTCCAGAGGCTCTGGCACCCCCTTCTGACCTCTGTAGGCACCCACACTTATGCATACAAACCCACCCGCAGACACAAATACATACATAATTAAAAATAGACATCTAAAATGGATGAGCAAAGAGCAGAGATAGAGCCCTTGACGGGCTGTTTGCCCCTTGGTCTTTCATGCTCAGTAGGCTGTTGGCATTGGGCTCCGTGGAGTGGAGCAGGGAATCCTTGTCTCCTCTCAGTTCACAGATGCTTCTTCCCCAAGCCCCAGGCTTGCTGTGATCTTTGCTGCAAAGTCTTTTCCACCTCCAGGCCCCTGCAGATGAGAGGGAAGGCGTGCAGCAGATTTGGATTTAAGGAAGGGTGCAGAAGCCCAGTAATTCCAAAGAAGGAACCTGTAATCTCCAGGGCCAGAAATAAACATTTCAATTATGGTTTCTCAGAGGGCACTCATCAGCCTGCCTAGGGTGTATCTGACAGTACTCGGCCTTTTTCATATCACTTTTTCCATGCATACATGACTTATGGTCTGCTAGAAAATATCAAAACTGCCCAGAATATTTGTTACTGGTAAGGTTTAGTTTTAAAATAGTGCTGTGTTCAGCTTTAACATAAAATAGTTGGGAGAGGGGGGGAATTGAATCCTACATGACTCTAAACTCAGAGGGTATAATTAACCCCAGGGGTCTTCTTAAAGCAACATTCCTATTGCTGATGAATGGTAAACCAACATTCACAAATAATTACAATATTGGTTTTTCTGAAATTGCCCATAATGATTTCAGTCACAGCAGCAGCCACCCCAGAACCTTGGGATCCCCCTAAACCATTTCCTCTGCTAATGTGTTCAATTAGGCAGTAAGCTTCTGTAATGCTGAGGCTCCATTGTCTCTGCAGTGTCCCCTTCCTCATCGAGCCTGGCTTCATGCAGAAAGGAAAGTTTTGTTAGCCCAATTCGTAATCTATAGTGAGAAGCAGACAGCAAGCATTTGAAGATGTGTAAGACAATTGATTTAACAACTGCCCTCTCCAGTCTTGGTGCACTTACAAATCTTTTAGGGCCACCAAATTCATCAAAAAGTTCCATGTTAGTTGAAAATAATCTTCCTTCAGGCGTGCTGTCACAGGAAAGGTTACAGTACTGTCTTTTTAATGAATCATAACTATATCGTGTTTTTTCATTTTGTTAAAAACAATCATCTCATTCACCTTTGAGATGTCATTGCCCAATAGACAGTGTCTAGAGCTCAATACAACATATATGATGTTGATTTGTATGATTAATCATAAGTAAAGCTTTCTAAATGATAACCTAAATACTCTATGATATAAGATGCTCTGAACTTCAAGAGAAAATAAGTATGTATCAGAGTAACCTTGTCAGAGAGAACGATAGCTAATTCTCTTCTGGGTATGTAAAACTGTTAGAGATCTGGTAGTTTTTTAGAGTATTTTTTTTTGAGATTCTGACTATATGCGTATTCTTTCGGAAACAAATCCAGAGATAAGACCCTACCTTTAGTAGGGCTGCTGGGGTTCTTCAGGGACTCCTGGGAGAGATGTCTGTTCATTCACGTGTCTTTAAAGGGACTTGAATTGTCTTTCAAAGACCAGATTTTTTTTTTTGGAAAGAAAACTTTACAAAATTGTAAAACATGACATTGACAACTGTATGTCTTTGAGCTATGGAGATGTTGATCTTAGAGTGTGTCTCATAACAAAAACTAGTTGACAGTCACATATCATGTCTTCCGCCCTTGTAGTGTTGTGAGGAACGGCCAAGGAAGAATTGACACTAAATTCACCCATGCCTGGATGGCAGAGGTGGAAGGACACTTACATTGGATCCTGTGCTCCCTATCTGCAAGTATAGAGACAGAGTGAGGCAGTGACACCAATGATGCCCACACCTCCCACCAAGCAGAGGTCAGAGGAGGTGTTTTAAGCCCTTAATTATGCCTTGAATACCCACAGTGCTCCCTTCTGGGAGGAAATAGTGAGGTTTGTTCAACAAAGCAGCTTGGTGGACTTCTTTCCACCTCACTCCAAGGAAACCAGGCTAAGCCTCCAGTCTTCACCTGTCTGCTGAATCCGCACCTTCGACAGGGACCATCCAACACAGTCCATGTTATGATTCTCAGCGCAGAAAGCTATCATGTCATTTCCATTTACTCCTGGCCACCAATCATCTCCGCCTAGGACTAGGGGTTTTCCTGGGATGTTGAGCTTTCTGTGCTAAAGCCTGTGGTCTCCTTAATTCTCTCAGGGAGTAGAACGAGTTGAGCTTTCTCATGGCTCCTTCAGCACAACTGTGGTCAGCATTATGGAATCTACCCAGAGGTAGATTATTCTACCTTATTCTAAATGAGACTCCACCTTGAGCCCTGCCAGACATTTGTAATGGTGTAGACCCAATTGCCTTATTGCCTAAGATGATAGGAAAGCCCAAAGAAATTTGAAAAGCCTACATAGATTGACATATTTACCTTTGCATTCTGTTTTTTTTAACATTTCTTAAATTCCCAACCATAGATCAGATATTGAGCCTGACTTTTCCCGAATATCCTTCAGACATCAAGATTCTGAGTCCTCCCTGTTACAGTACACACTCCCCCTCGTTTCCTCTAGTTCTCGGAGCACACCCATGCACACATCAAACCAAGGAGTCCTCTTACAGCAATAGTCTGGGTTTCTAATGAGCTCCAGATGACACGCATGCTACGCCTCCTCAGGGGATGCCCTGTAGGGCTCTGGGCGGCATGTGCTTGTCCTCTCTTGGATTCCACCTTTGAATCCAAGAGAGGAGGTTCCCAACAGCTGAACTAGGACACCAGGCTAAACCACAACTTTGCCTGCAGACATCCATTTCTGGCGAAGGGTGCAGTGTGAGGTAATTAGCCTCTTTCCCTAGTGGCTCTTCCCTTCCTGGCTCTCATGTCATAACCCTCCCTCCCCCCCTTCCCCCTCCCCCTGTGAACTACAGCCTCCCTGAGAGGTCAGGAAAGAGATTACAAGGGCCTGGTCCTCCCTGCAACTCCTGATCTCTCACAAGTACAGAGTTTTAATCTCAACCCTGGATTACACATCCTCACCTGTTCCCTCAGTGTATTCTTGCAGCATTTTCTACAGGAAACCAGCAGCACAGTCCAGAGCCATCCTGACACTCTCTGATTCCTCACACACAGGCTCATCTTTCTTCTCCCACTTGGGTTCCCAATGCTACTGTCTGAGTGAGCATAAAGCCCGAATAAAGAGAAACAAGAAACTTTATTTTTCTTACTGTAAAATACTAATGCCGTTTCCACTTCTCCCCTCTCCTCCTCTGACAAAGAAAAAGACCGCAATGGTTGTTGCTTGAATACATTGAAGAGCCAAAGATTATCCCTCACTCCACTGAGCCATAAATGTAGTTACATTCACAGGAAACTTGCCTTTGGCAATTCGTGTTTTATTTAGCCACAATTGGAAACGTATTTTTAAGTGATCTTAAGCAATAAAATTTAATTCATGAAAAGCTAGTTGCAAGAACACGGAGTCATTCACTCCCATCAGTGGCCAAGCCCTCGGGACTCTAGGGTGAGTTATGATGTACCCAGGGATAAAAAAAAAAAAAACAAAAAACCACAGAGCTGTTCTGAAAAGTAATTCTATGTTTTTAAATTTCCTACTCAGACCTGCCTACATCTGCCCATATTCCAGGCACTCTGTCAAGATGTGTCAGGTTTATAGAAATCAAACCTGCAGAATAGAAGGAAGAAATGTGAGTACCAGTGTGAGAGAGATGGAAAACAAAGTATGCTCATAGGGACTGTCTTCTAGAACGTTCCCACAAAGCACCCTAAGACCAAGTGAGGCAGCCAAGTGGGGTTCAGGGATCTACACTCACCGCTTCTTAACCATTTGAATTTCTGGAAAAGCAAACAAAGTGCCCAGTCCCACCGAATTACTTCATCCCATTTTGATGGGCCCACTCATCATTCCTTGGCCCCAGATTTCATGTAAATTCGCTGGCTGTTTCAGGGGAACCCAGTGCACCCAAGCTGGAAGGGCAGATGGGAGAGGACGGGAACTCCATCAAGGTGAACCTGATCAAGCAGGATGACGGAGGCTCCCCCATCAGACACTATCTGGTCAAGTACAGAGCGGTGAGTAGCTTCCATCTTCAGAGGTGAGGTGCCACACATACCCTGGAACCCTGATACCTACCTTGCTGAATCAAGAACTCGAGAATTCCAAGTGAGGTGAGGACAGGACAGGGTCCCACCAGACGTCTTGTAGGAGACTCTTGGAACGTGGTCAAGATTTTAAATCCCAAGATTGACCCATAGCCATGCCCACAGTGGGACCATGTGAAAAACTTCTACTATGACTGGGATGGTGACATCACTGTGATTTTTGTGATTGCATTTTTCTTCAAAGCGCTATTTCAGTAATCCAGGACTTCTGGGCAAAATTGTCACAGTGTCATATAACAGTCACTACTTTTGATCAAGCATGTCTCCTAGACCAGGTGCAATATCCAAGCATATTTCTTGTACAGAATCTATGGAGCGGGTATTACAGCTACCCACCCCCCATATTACAGATGAAGCAACCAAGGCTACGACAGCCAGCACCTGATGGTCTCACACACCTGGGTGAGGTCTCTAGCTGAGGAGCCTAGGTTCTTACTTCCCTTACTTCAAGATCCTAAGCTGGATCCCTTGCCAGATCTTGACACCTCAGCCAGTCCATCTGCAAACACTCAGCTTCCCTTTTTGGCTCACTCAGCTAAGATCTCTCCTATTCCATCTTTCATCACCAACTCTCAAACTGAGAATCACTCTCCTTTCCCAGTTTCAGAACGACAGACAGTTGGCAAGCTGTTGCCAGGGGCGGGGGCAGTCTCTGAACACTGGGAAAAAACCCTTACTAAGATTTTCAAGTAGCTAGAGATCAAGAGCCAAAGAGCAGCTTGCTTTCTCCATGTAGCCCCAAATAATGCTTTTTCCAGGAAGTTTGTTCATTTATGTCCCTCCTGGGAATGGTTCCCATGGAAATGGTAGGTGGGTCCAGAGCACAGAACACAGCTCTGCAGGATGGCATACTATGCAGCCCACGGTCAGATGTTTATCTAATCAACTCTCTGAACTGAGTCTCAAGAAGTCAGAGACGAGCTGGCATCGTAGGGGAAGTTGTTTAAGGGCCATCCCAGAGATACTACTGTATGGGAGGTCCTGGATTTGCCTACTGAAGGGAAGGATACCAGGACTTGCCAGGTGGCTCTGAATAGCTTACTTGAAGCAGGTGGAATAGGAGTAACCTACTTGGTGTAGGGTAGAATACTTATCCCACTCTTTAAATGACTATTATGAGCCTGAATGACATCAAATTCCAGCTTTGCCATTTGCCAGCATGGCATCTGAAGAACAGATAATCGTTTCTTCCCAAATCTCTGCAAATGGTAGCCAGGATGCAGAACCCAGCTAGAACTCTCTCCCGAAGGAAGAGAGTCTCCATGTGTGCTTGCCCAAATGGTCACTGAGACTGTGTTTAACAGACAGAGAAACAAACTGCTGAGCTATTTTAGATTCCAGTGACTTTAATCACCTCTTTCACTTTGAAGCGTAACGTTTGCTAAATGCAATCACATATTATTAATATGTATTACATAGCATAAAGTTTGCTTTCCTGCGTGTTTGCTTTATCGTCTGGTTGTCTCTTTTGTAATGATGTTTGCCAAGGAAGACAGAGAAGGAAGAGCAAAGAGAGACAGCCCGGCTTCTTTGTTTTAAATTTAAACAGCACCATAGCAACATGTGCAAAGCTGACTTATAGAGCACAGCCCAGGCTTCCTGGTTAAATTATAGGACACCAGAATCCCCTCTGAGCGTTTTCCCACCACATCCACAGCCCTGGAATGAGCACTCCCATGTTCCTAGAGGCGACTTTGTGGCTCATCAGAACTACTTTGCTTGGTGGACTCTCTTCCTCCAGCCACAGGCCTGGACCTATGGTGACCACTGGACTACCTCGTATCTGACACATTGCTGTGTTCTACACCCCCCCTCAATCCAGTAAACATTTGTCAAACCTCCTTGGGTGTCAAGAGTGTACCTCAGGCATGCTTGGCTTTTGTAAATAAGGGCCAGAGACTGTGATGTGACAGGCTTTGCAACTAGAAAACCATCTGAAGATTTCTCAGGAGGACTTGAGGCCTCTCTTACAATGTTTTGTTATGGAGATGGTTGTCTAGCAATAGCTTTGGAAACTTCCTTCTGGTACAAATTCACTGGTGAACATGAATGATGTACCTACAGGGAATGTTAGGCGAGAAGCAGGGAGAATCCCTAGAATTCTGCATCTCTCCATATGCCCTAGACACTGTTTGCTAAGCCCTGTGGGATACTCCACGTGGGTCATGAGCATCCCAGTCTTGAGCCTCAACTGTTCAGCCACAGTGATGCCAGATCATACTGCAGAATATAAAAAAACCCAGTTCAGTTCATCACATGCTCTCTGGGCTCCCTGGTATGAAAGGGAAAATGCTGTCTGGGGCTTGAACATGCTGGGCTCCAACTTTGACTGCAGCGTGACTTTATGAAGTCACCTAACCTTTGCTCATGTCCCCCTCCTCAGATTTAGTAAGAGCCTGAAGCAATGCCCCAGCAGGTTGGTTACAGGGATGTAATGAGAAATGGTGAAGCCATCCCTCAGGGCAGAGCCTAGCCTGTGGAACGTACTTAATATGAGGGTTTGCATCTTTAATAAAATTGGAATCTATGTGATATTCACCTGTGAGAATGGGGACAGCATTCTGAAATACAAGAAACATTTATTGTAACTCCTCTAAGGAGCCCTTACACCATGAATCCAGTATAAGGGGTGTTAGGGCAAGTGGGGGGCCAGTGTTCACTGTCACTCCTGTCAGTCCTGAAGTTAGTGGGATGGTGGCGTCAGAACCGTGCCACGCTGGCATTTGCTACTGTTGATCCTGGCAAACATACTAGGTAGTTCCGCCAATATGGAAAACCCACATCAATTCCCATTTCTTATAACTCACACCCTGGGTTTCAAGTCCCCTGAGTTTGTGTCTCCTAGCCAGTCTCACCAGTATTCTCATTGACATTCCCTGGTGTCTTCTGTCCTTCCTGCCAATTGTTCCCAGAAGCTCGCCTCCGAATGGAAACCAGAAATCAGGCTCCCATCCGGCAGTGACCACGTCATGCTCAAGTCCCTGGACTGGAACGCCGAGTACGAAGTATTTGTGGTAGCTGAGAACCAGCAAGGAAAATCTAAGGCAGCTCATTTTGTGTTCAGGACCTCAGCCCAGCCCACGGTCATCCCAGGTATAGCCACGTTTTGTTTTCTGTCTCTTTCCCGCTTTAAATTAATGCACACAGCCGCGCCTCCTAATGAGCCTGAACAACCCTGACAACCTGCTTGCTTACAGCCATCCTCATGACTGGTTGCTCATGCCAAGCTTAGTTTTGCCTTATCCCCATCTGTGCAGTGGGGTTGACATGTGCCAGACCTCCAGGAGAGTTTTGCCAAGCATCCGAGGGAAAAGGTCCTGTCTCACTTGGCTTTGATAGACCAGTGCTAACCAGTTTGTGGGACTCCCTTGGGTGGGAAACGCCCCAACTCCTGCCTTGCCTTGGATGCTGGTTGAATAAGGATCCATAACGAGACTTTCTCTGGCATCTGCATTCCGTACTGGGACAACATAACTGGCTTTATACTGTTTATATGCGATCCTTGCTTTAGCTGTCCAACCATGGTCTAAAATCCCTTCTCTCTGGTGGCCCCAAGAGAAGGAATAGATGGTGCCCAGTTAGCTACAAGCTTATCTGTGAAGGGCCTCTCCACTGTGCAAGAGACAAATTGAACCTCTTGGAATGGAGCAAGTGGAAAACATAGATACTGGGACACACCATCAATGAAAGGACAGACCATGGTAGCGGCATTGCTCCTAGGACATGCAGATTCGTCTCTAGGATCCAACTCAAGTGTGGGAATAAAGTGAGAGCCATGATTTCTGGACCACATGCCTTGTGTCAGTGGCCAGTCCCCTCATTAGGCAAATACCTCAGAGAAGACCTTGTTCTTCAGCCATCGCTTTGCCTTTCCAGGGCCAGATACCAAGCACAGGCAAGAGAGATGGTCATAGATCATACAGCTGTAGACTGTTGGGGAAGGCTCCCGTGCTCTACCATGGTCAGGTGTTGTAGGAAGACAGCCTGGGGTAGGCCCATCTTGCCCACCCTATCTGGAGAGCTTATTTAGCTGCTGATCTCAATTACCAAGATTGCTCGTCCTAGGAAAGTCAGTCCAGAAAGGGGATAGGCTGCCTGCCCTGTAGGGTTATATGTGCCAAAGTGAGTAGCACCAGAAGAAAAGCTTGGTGTATGGTTGTTTATGATCGCTTGTGTGTGAGTGGGTATGCGGGGTGGATATGTGTGGGCCTCCAGCCAATTGGCAGGTGAGTTTTCAGCTGTAGATTAGAAGTGTCAGTTGGTTGATTTCACTATGGGGAGAGCTGTCTTGCTCAGTTTAGGGTCCTGTGTCTCTACACATCCTGGAAGGAAGTTCTTAGATGTGGCTACAGAAAGTTGCCCTCATTGTGGCTTTATAGGAAGTCCAAATGGAGGTGGCCCTGCCTTTCTTCTGTCTCTTCTTTCCTGTGTTCTTTGGTTAGTTTTCCATTGAAATCAATAGTGTGACATACATGTCTGTCCAGATTCACACTTTGAGCCTCTTAGGATTCCAAAACAGTGAGGCTTAGATTTAGCGTTTTGCAACAGGCTATCCGCTAGTTCTTCCCCAGAGGAGACTGGATGGGCATGCTTGGGCATGCTGTATTCCCAGGCTGGGCACTGCCAGCGACTTCACCTTCTAGGTTTACAGCATTAGAGAGAAAAATGCTGGAGCACTCAGCCTGCAGAGGCCTTGTAGAACATCACCCAGGAGCCTGTTAGAGCCGGAGAGCCTTAGGAGGACCTGACATGTCCACGGTGATTCTTTGCCTACTATCCAAGTGGTAAAAAGACATGACTCTGGTTGGTTCATCCTGGCAATTTTATTGGAATTCAAGAACAAAGCCTCTTTGCATTGCAAGAGGTACATTTGTGGTCGAATTCCATGATCGGCAGAGTAGAAGAAGATGAGGTGTTCAGGACCCTCACATGTGGATGACAAAGGTGGGGCTCCTAAGGTAGAAAGACAGGTCTGCCTCAGCTCTCCAGATTGCCAGTGTTCTGACCATAGTGTGGCCCTCCACTGCATCTCAGCCTCCACATGCAAAACCTAGACACAGAAGAGCATTCTCCCCGCCTGAACCTAAGAGGCTTCGTCTTAGCAAGAGGTAACCCTCTCCTGATCTGCCCCTGCTGTTTTACTGCAGAGGCTCCTGTTCTCTCACTTTAATTTCATTTGCTCGCTGGCCCCGACCCCTAAATTAACCTGCTATGCTGCTTCTGGCCTTGCTGAGCTGCTGACCCGGCCTATGATGTTGATAAGCACTGAACCCTCTAACTTTTGTCAGCCTAACTTACTAAGTTGAATTAACCTTGGATTCTGGTTTTTTCTATATTTGACCTATTTTTCCTTTCTTTTTTATCTATTTTTTTCCTCTGTTTCTGTCTCTACCTTCTCTTTCCTCCCCTCCCACCCCACCCCGTGTGTCTGCCGTCACACTTGTCACCCTGGACGTCACTGGGACATCCCCACTGCCAAATTTATGTCTCAACAACCATCTTTGCTCTGGGACCCATTGCTTGGCACCTGCAGCCACCCTGGGAGGAAGCTCCACCTCCTACACCTTGGTCTCATTGCTTTTCTCCGCGGTGACTCTTCTTTTGCTCTGTTAGGAACTTGAATGCACATGTGCACACACAGACACACAGACACACACACACACACAAACACACACACACACACTCCACATCGTATTTGAGTAAAAGCCCAGTTCTTATGAAAATGATCAGTTGTCCCTCTTGGAAAGAACCTGTCAGGACCATGGTGGCCCTGCCACAGCCACTGAGAGAGTGCTCTGTGTGAACAAGGAAGGTCTTGGTGACTGGAAACAGGTTTACCTCCTGAGAATTTTGTCATTCAGTGATACACTTTTTTGTCACTTCTTATGGAGTCTATCCCCTTTTTAATAGTAGTAAAAATATATATGAAGAAGAGTTTGAGAGGTCTTTCTTCCAATACTATTTTTTAAAAAAAAACATTATGCAAGGTTTATGGAGATGTTACTACCATCTGCTGCTTGTGTCTTTGCTGTTGTTCATACCTAAAGATGAGCAGAGAAGAAATTCTAGACTTCTAAAGCTTGGCTCAGATTATTGTAAAAGCGCCCACCTTTCAATAGGTAGTTAGCTTCGCCTGCATTTAAGTACCCATGTTGAAAGAGCACCCTTGGGTGACTCACCTAAGCACTCTGCTGACCTGATAGGCAAATTAAATCCCCTGTTGCCCATGCAGTGGGAAAAGTTAAAATCGTCTATTTTCTGGAGCTGATGAACATTCTAGAAAGGGCTGGTGTTAGTCTCAACATCTTCTGGCTCTGTGACATGTCCGAAGGGAATGGACTTTGCTGTCTGATTCCCAGTAAAGCTGATTATTCCATTCCACAGTAGGATGCTTCAGATGAACACTAAACCTCCAGGTCCTGGTGGCAGGTCCTGTCGTGACCTCCACCATCACCATAAGTACAGGATACTGGGCAGTTTGGAAGCATCCACTGTGAATCAGTCACCATCCCCACCATCCCCTGCGTGCTCCAAAGAGCACAAAGAAAGGGGCTGAAGAACGGTCTACTCCCCTAGTGTTCCTAAATCAGGCAGTACATCCACAGTGCCCCAGCTTGCCTACTGGCCTCCACAATACTTTTTAAATGTTTATGAAAAGCCAAGAACTCCTGTTGCTGTTGGGCAATTCACCCAGAAGAGGAGGTGGGTGTGTCACAATCAGATGCATGAGAGCCAAGGCTGAAACTCAGCCAATGGTGTCAGCTTGCGATAGACCTTCTAATGAATAAAATCTCCTCCCCTCCCATGGCACCCGTCATTCTACCTATCTCATCTCTGAACATCTTCACGGAAGCTTAATTTATGTTTTCTTTGGTTCTTCACCTATTTTGTTTCTTTTGTTATTTTTTTTTTTAATGCTCAAAGACTAGCTTTTGCCTTTAGGAAGACAAATGACTCCGAATTGTTGTCTGCAGGCTGTTGCCACCTGCCAATGTGGTGTGTTACCACCTGCCAGCATTCCCAAGTGTTCAACATAGAGGCTTCACACTGCTCAGCAGCTAAAACTGACAGTTTCTCTCTCTCTCTCTCCGATATGAACCTCTGCTCTGAACCCGTGGCCTCTTCCCACCAGCTCAGTGAAGCAAGGTGGCGCAGGCCAGTACAGCAGAGAAAATAACATGGGCCTCAAGGCCTGATGTGAGAGTCACAGGTCATTTAAGGAAAGCATCAGGGAAGGCAAGAGAGGCCCCACCATTGTCCTCTTCTGATGGCCCTGGACAGATGTCATATGCATTCACTCTATGAGAACTCAACTCAGAGAGTCTGCCTCAGCTTGTCCTGACACACTCACAGGAAAGGGAGAGTGTTACTATTCCTAAAGGGACCTTTGGAGATCAGCCTAAGTGTCCAGAGCCATAGCATGGTTCTGTGCTCTTGGCACACACAAGGCCCAGCTGGAAAACCTTTGGGCTTATTCCAGCCGGCTTGTGGTTTGTAATGGTGTGCCCTACCAGACACAGCTTTCTTGTGTACTAGCCCCTGCCAGACACTGGGTCCCTCCATGAAGGCTGTGACTCCTGGCCCAGCCAAGAGTCATTAGAGAGCAGCTCCCAGGAATCTGCAAGGGAGTGGGCACACCCCCACCTCTACACTGTGTATTCGTACAGACCATACACCGTGTATCTACCATGAGGGGTCTCTGCTTGGTTTTATTTGGGGGGGGGAATATTTATACAGCAGGTTCAGATCATGTTTTTCTACTAATAAGAATGCTAACATCATTGTGTAGATAATCAGCAAGACTTTATGAAGTTTACAACTTTGCATTATTAAAGGATATAACAGTTCATGTAAACCCAACAGCGTGTTTTGATTTTCTTTGACTTTTGTGTCCAAGACAGTGATAAAAAACAAAACAAAACAAGAAAAACCACTCTCCTTTCACCTCACGTGCACTTGGTAACTGATATTACCAGGAGAGACATTTAAATTGGACACCACACTTGGTGCAAAGGAGACTTCCAGTCGAAGGCATTTTCTCATGAAAATCATTATGTCTTCCTAAGGGGTCCTGAGGCTGTCAAGTTCTCTGTTGCCTGGGAATCCTCAGGCAATGAGAGAGAAATGAACCTTTGCAAAAGTGAGGTGGTAGTGACTCTGAAGACTGGATCAGGGTGGCATGTTCCACCAGCTGCAGAGCTCTGTAGCAAGGTCTTCTGAGTATGCAGTGACCTTTTCTCCCCCCTAACAGTACACATGCACATGCATGTGTCCATGAGAGTGCATATGTGCGTGCACACACACACACACGCACACACTCACACACATCTTATGATAGATAGGAACTAACAGGGCTTCTGTTGACAACTTGAATTCTATGCATAGCCAGCTCCAGGTAGGAGCAAGCAGACATACGAGGGATTTATGAGGAAACTAGCTTCCAAGTTCAACCAACCTGGTAGTCTGACAGTCATACTGGGGCCAGGACTTCTGTACCTGGGGGCCATGGTACAATAACTCAGACCCAGCTGGGCACCTGGAAAGTATGAGGTCCATTTAAAGGTAGAAGAAACCATATATATGCAAGTCTCAGCCTTCGGGCAAGCTGGTTTCTGCTTTGAATGTCAAGCTCTCAAGCCAGGAACCACAGACGGTTGACAGCCCTAGTCAGACACTGCTCAGGGCAGCTGCTACCCAGGGAGATGTGCAAAAGCTGCCCCCAAGAAGTCTTCTTCATGTGCTAGGCACCTATGTGCTGGGCTTGTCAGGGAGTGCAAGGTGAAGATCATGGAGAAGACGGACATCTGAAAGGGTTTCCTTGACATTTCCTTTTATGGCCTGTTCGATAAGATGCAGGATCTAGACCTGGTCCCACTAGTTCCCTGGACTAAACTACCCTGTAATACCCACAAAGGTGTGGTGTCTTCTGGCTCCAGTGCCCTTTAATTTGTACACAGCCTCTCCTTGTTCCCATCTCTCTGTCAGGGCCACCACCATTTCCTCCAACTTCAGGAGTACTCACTTCCTGTAAGAAGAATTAGTCCTTGGAAGTGGTGAGCCCCTCTCCAGAAAGAGTCTTTATTCGATCTATCTATCTATCTATCTATCTATCTATCTATCTATCTCTATGATCAAATATTTTATGTCAGAGACATGGAACAGGTCATTACCCCTTTGGTGATAAACCCTAGAATCAGGCATGGCCCGCTGGAATTGAGGACAAGGAAGGCTTAGGAATGGTGGTCCTCATGTGACCTGGGTACTTGTTCAAATCCCAGTTCCTGACCCTCACCCCAAAGTGGTTCTGGCTCTAGAATGAAGAGTCCCATATGCTAAGTATTTAAGAAGCCTCCTCAGGAACCCCACCACGGGCAGAGAATCACTGCTAAATGTTAAAAGGCATTTGATTTTTATGCAAAATCTAAATTTTAAAGACAAATGGCTAAAGATAGGGGCTACCAGCATTTTATTCTTCCGAATACACACTATAGAGACTGGCATCTTGGAAACAGTATCATGTGTGGAGCACTGTACAAGTCTAGTTTGAAATGAGGTATTTATGGTTGAAAAAGATTTGCAGACCATTCCCTGCCCAAGGCCCTTCTAGATACAGGTATCTCATCCAAGACCATCATCAGAGATATAACATCTCTGTCAAGAGCTTGTCTGGTCTCTGCTTAGTGCTTTCCAGAAACAGCACTCACAAGAAACAGCTTCCCAGGCAGCTCACTCTGTTTGACTTCTATGCTTGTCAATCCTTCTTGAGGAGCTGTAGTCAGCCCCTCCTCCTAGAGTAGCACCTAAAGATTCTGTACAGAATACAGGTCCCTTTCCCCCCCATAGCACACAATTAGATTTTTGGAATGATGTTCTCATCCCCAGGCTGAAGGCTCACTAAGTCACCCAACAATATTCTGTGAATATTTGCCCAACATCAGAGTCACACTAGCTGTTAGTGAGACAGAGAAGAGAGTGGGCACCTGCTCGAATGTTCTAGAGAAGCCACGCAGTAGTAGTGTGCATACGTTCATATAAATGCTCAGGGGAATGAAAAGGCAGATGGGAGCAAGAAGAGAGTTAGAGCAGAGTAGCTTGTGAGATAAAGAAGGTAGATGTCCAAGAAGATAACGTGAAACCTGAGGCCCTGTAAGACCTACACATATAACATACATACATACATACACAGTCATACATGCATACATAGTCAGCCAGCCCTGGGAAGATGACAGGCTGCCGTGTCCATCAGGCAGCATTCAGATGGACCTGGGCTGGAATACAATACTGAAAGTCAGACCCTAGTTTACAAGGGTCTGGGGGATCTACACATGTGAGAATGGATAGGACAAGAAAGGCTCCAAACTTTGCATCAAATGAAAGCGAGGCTGCTGATCTACTGTTTTGCTTATATGGGATGATATTCTTCACCCTTCGATACATCCATTTGAATATGCTTAGACCTGGTAGTGAAACCATAAGCTGATTCTGCTGGGCCCAGAGCAAACGCTGTCCAGCTGCTGTACTTTCATCCTCAGAATAGCTTTTCTATGGTTTATTTTTCCCTCTTTGAAGAGATGAGCAGTCATGAGGCTAGAGACATGGCTCAGGCGTTAAGAGACAGGCAGTCACATAGGACTGCTTTTATGTATGAAGTTCAAGATAAAAAAAAAAAACCATTGCTGTTGAGGTGGGCATGATAGGTTGAGTCTGCAATCAGAACAATCAAGAGGCCGAGGCAGCAAGAGGCTCATGAATGTGAGGCTAGCCTGAGCTTCACAGCGAGCTTACAGAGAAGTAAGACTTGCTCTCAAAAATATTCTAAGATTACCACTAAGTACAAAAATTTGTAGATATTCCCCAAAAACTACTTTTATATTTTAAAATTCTTTCTTCATGAAGTAGGCACTGGATCCATTCTTAGGTGTCAGAGGCTGAGGCTAAGATGAGTTTCTTATTCAAGGAAACCCCTTGGGATCCTAACAAGGGGATCAAACCCTCTCCTCCTGTCCCCATACAAGAGTGAGGGTTACAGAGTTCTCAAGTGGGTGCTGGAAGAATGAGTCCCTCCAACCGAAGCCGGGAGCAGCTTTCCTGATGCCAAAGCCCACACACCTAGTAGCTAGTATCCTTTATTCATCTTGGGCCATCTTAGAGACAGGGACTGGAGTCCCCAGTGAAGGACTCAAAGTCCTGAGGACAGAAGAATGGGAAACAAGCCAAGGTCCTAAAGAGTAAAAACGTCTGTGAACCTGGAGTCTCCTCCAGCTCAGGCCCTAGGGCCCTGAGAGGAATTGGTGCGAGTGTTCCTCTCTGGCATTCTGGGCCAGAATTGAAGCTTGTAATTAGGAACGGTGGAAACCCCTGAGAAGCAGTACAGTGCCTCCGCGAGGCATCTGAGTACAGCAGAACACAGGCTACATGGGGGACAGAGAGTGGTGGCCAGGAGTGGCAGTGCATACCTGTAAATGCAGCTCTCAGGAAGTAAAGCCAAAGGGATCAGAGCCCCTAGCCAGCCAGGTCCTATTACAAATATCCAAAAGTTCTAAAAGAAGGACAGTAGCACACAGGCAGTGCCATTCCTGCCTTTTTCTGGAGGGATGGCCTAAGATTGGCAAGCTATGCTTAGCCATTTGGCAAAGTATAGTATACTCACTATGAAGACAGTTGGGGCCCATCCCCAAGTACTGTTAGCTGTAGTTCTTGCAGCCAATCCAAAGACCTTGGTGTCCTTAGTCCCTTGGGAGCACAGGAAACATCAGGAAGGGTCTAATGGTAGAATAGTATGAGACTAATGAATGAAAAGTGCCCTGTGTCAGTCTGAGACCATTGTCCCCATAATGACTTCTGTAGGCAGAACTCTATGCACTTTTTGCTTCTCACAATACCAGCACTGATGGAAGTCATCTAGAGTCAGTGGGTTCCTCCCAGAAAACTGGTGTCAGTGGAGCCACACAAGGAACTCACACAGGTCCTTCTGTGGGAGAATCTATAGGCCAAGGCCTTGGAGAAATGTTAGTGGTTACCAGGGGGAACTAGACTGTGGAGCCCCAGCTAGAGTTAGGAGGCTGGGTGCTGTCTGGATGTGAGACTGTGAGTCCATGGACATTTGTCCTGTGCGTGGGTGTGACTGTCTGTGAGAATGTGCAGATCTGGGTAAGTCTACAGGTTTTCCTGAAGTCTGCCACCAGAATGCCTGGCTCACACATGGTGAGTATTCCCAGACCCTTTGCCTTACCCGTGGGGCCTGGGGAGGCTGCTGTGTCTCCAGAGTTTCATAGGTCACATTCAGCCTCCTGAGGCACGAGAAATGATAAACTGAGCCCTGGTTCCCTTAGTTAAAGTCCTTTGGACTTACTCTTCAGGAGAGGAGAGGAAGTTGAATCATATGTTGGGCATCCCGTTGGGCCTGGCATCTCCACAAGACCCAAGACAGTCCTGGGAACCCCATATGGGACCCTGTCTGTCACTGAGCCTAGAGCCATAGCATAACCTAAAGCCAGCAGTCACTGCCTGATGAGCCAGAAAAAATATTGTGCTTTGGTCCAGAGATGCAGCAGGACCCTCCTGGGTTTGCCTTCACTCAGTGTCCTCAAACACTACCTGACTGAGCTTCCAGGATTCATGAAGACCAGTTGAGCACATGTCTTAGGGAGAAGGCTCAGAGTTGTTGGGAGGCAAAAATGAAGACACGATCTCCTCTCTCGTCTTAATTTGTAGGAGTCCTCATACCCTGACTCCTGCATGAGATGAGGCAATCCCACCCTATCTGAAAAGTCCAGAGAACCTATTGTCCCTATACCAGGCATAAAAAGGCCCCAAGGAAGGTACCACTGGTCACAAATGCCTTGGCTTCATGCTCAGGGCCTACTCCACCCAGGGATGGCTGTTCATAGGGTCAGGGGCTCAGGGTCCTACTCCATCCCAGGGACGGCTGTTCATAGGGTCAGAGGCTCATATGCAAACCTGTTAACCACCAACCATTTCTCTCCCACTTAAGCCAATGGCAGCCCCACCACAGGCCTGAGCACAGGCGCCATTGTGGGGATCCTCATTGTCATCTTCGTCCTACTCCTGGTGGTCATGGACATCACCTGCTACTTCCTGAACAAGTGTGGCCTGCTCATGTGCATTGCTGTTAACCTGTGCGGCAAAGCTGGGCCCGGAGCCAAGGGCAAAGACATGGAGGAGGGCAAGGCTGCTTTCTCGTGAGTACAAATTCATCCTGTCAGTGAGGACTCTGCCCCAGCCCAGGGCCTAGTTCTGTGCTATCTGAGAGTGCTCTGGTGACCTCCCCTACTTGAAGCATGGGTTAAAGGCCAAGTGAGGTGACAAGGTTGAAAAGCAGTGTCTCCGACCCACTCTTGGCTCTAAAGTCTCATCAAGATGTGACAATTCCTAAGGAGGTCAAGAGGTGGGACTTGTCAGATTTAAACCTGGAGAGAGGAGCAGTGATGGAGGGAACCAGCACTGGAGGAATATACTTAATCTCTCTCTCTCTCTCTCTCTCTCTCTCTCTCTCATTCATTTACTGTTCAAATACTTGGCTTGCAGCTACTGGAGGCAAGACCCTGTATCCTGGGTACCAAATGGAGAAAAACAAATACAAATTCCACCTCTCTGAGAGGGACAATGTGTACGCTCTTCCCACAGGCAGCATCTGTTAGCTAGTTAGAGGGAGATTTTGAAGTTCGTGGGTGACTGAGACTGTTTTAGCTAACTGAGAAAGGATGGAGTGAGAAGATAAGTTGCTTAGTACCTCCACATGCAAGAAACTGGTTAGATAGATGGTAGATAGATAGATGGTAGATAGATAGATAGATAGATGCACACAGGTCTATGTATGCATAGTTACAAATACATTTGTATACATGCATACACACATGTGCACATGGGTTTGCATTGAGCGTTAATCTGCATTGTGCTTAAACACTTTAAATAAATTATCTCATTTAGTTCTCATAGTTACACAAGGTATATGCTTACTCGTACAGATGGGAGAACTGAGGGAATGGTGAGGTGATTACCTTATGTATCCAGACTAATGCAGAGACAGTAACCCAGCTCACTCTGAAAGCCACGGGCCAGACCCCAATACCCCTTGTTACAGCTTCTTTCTTAAATGTCTTTCCTCCTGAAGCCATACTGGGATCTAACCAGCGGAACTCTCTCCACAGGAAAGATGAGTCTAAAGAACCCATTGTGGAGGTCCGAACAGAGGAGGAACGGACTCCAAACCATGACGGAGGGAAGCACACGGAGCCCAACGAGACCACGCCGCTGACAGAGCCCGAGTACGTGGAGTAGGAGGGATTGCTGCCTCAGTAGAACCCCAAATCCACCTTATCACCCTTCCCCAACCTTCCCTGCTTCTCACCCCCGGCTCCTGGCCAGACATGGAAGCCAGAGCTCTGGAGCCCTGGGTCAGAAGACCTTCTGAACCCACTCTCCAGAGAGAGAAGACATGCTTCTCCTTGGATCATAGTGGGTGCTTTACCGTGCTCATTGCATAAGTGGGCTCCCTGGAGTATTCCAAAATTCCACACATATTCCAGGAATGGTTTAACTTTATTGAGAGAGAGGACTAGCCCATTTCATTTGGGATTTCTTTAAAATCTTCAGGAACTGGGTAGGTTCCTTGGTCTTCTTCCACTCAGAAACCTTGGAGATCTTCAGGGGTTCTGACCAGCTATGTTTGTATTGCCCAAAGGCTATCAAGGATCTGATAGCCTTGAAGGAAATAGATCTCACAGGAACACAAATCTATGGCTGGAACAGCCTTGACACATAGGAGCCATTTGGAACACTGGTCCTCCTCATTCTGACCTAGGAAGAATTGTAAGGTAGCCCGACCCCATTCCTATGGGTCTCCAGAAACCAAGAGTGGTGGATGATGGACGTCAGCTGCCTTCACTGGAGTGGAGATCCAGGGGAACACAAGAGAGTGATAGACAGATCAGTAGGGGACTGGAGCCCTGTACAGAGAGCTGAAGGGGCGTCAGCATGGAAGAAGGCTAGCAAGTCCCTTTGAGACTGCCACGTTCTTTGTTGTCTCCTGTGTCCTCTTCCGCCCACCTGGGGCATGTACTTCCTCTTCGTCCTTGTTTCTCCGTGGGCCCATGTTCCTGCCCGTGTATGGTTGCATGCCCTCCCACCGCTCCTCTCCTTGCCTTCTATCTAGCTTCTCTGTCACGTCTTAGCTTCATTGTCTATTCTCTTTCTACTTCCTGTCCTCCCCACAGGCTGCCTGCCGACACCACAGCCACTGTCGAGGACATGCTGCCTTCTGTCACCACCGTCACCACTAACTCTGACACTATCACCGAAACCTTTGCCACTGCTCAGAACAGCCCTACCAGTGAGACCACTACACTGACCTCCAGTATTGCCCCACCGGCCACAACTGTGCCAGACTCAAATTCTGTGCCCGCCGGTCAGGCCACCCCTTCCAAGGGTGTCACTGCTTCATCCTTGTCCCCAGCCTCAGCCCCAAAAGTTGCTCCTCTTGTTGACCTGAGTGATACCCCAACCTCAGCTCCTTCTGCTAGCAATCTGTCCTCTACTGTCCTGGCAAATCAAGGAGCTGTACTCAGTCCTAGCACACCTGCCAGTGCAGGAGAGACCTCCAAGGTCCCTCCAGCCAGTAAGGCCTCCCCGGCTCCCACCCCTACTCCAGCCGGGGCAGCCAGCCCCTTAGCAGCAGTAGCTGCCCCTGCCACAGAAGCCCCCCAGGCCAAGCAGGAAGTCCCCAGCACCAAAGGTCCGGACCCAGAGCCCACCCAGCCTGGCACCGTGAAGAACCCACCTGAGGCAGCCACAGCCCCTGCTAGCCCGAAGAGCAAGGCTGCCTCCGTCAGCACCACAAACCCTTCCCAGGGCGAGGACTTAAAAATGGACGAAGGGAACTTCAAGACCCCAGATATTGACCTTGCAAAGGATGTTTTTGCAGCCCTGGGCTCTCCTGCTCCCGCCACTGGGGCCAGTGGACAAGCCTCTGAGCTTGCTGCTTCCACTGCAGACAGCGCTGTGCCTCCTGCACCAGCAAAGACCGAGTACGGCCTCTCTTTGTCCACTGTCATTGGGTTGTGTCCTGTAGTGGTGTGTGTCTGTGCTGTGTTATGTCCTCCGTGTTTGATGTATCCTCAGCCTCTTGCAGGGCTTCTGTGAGACAACTGTCAGCCAGGGGCCTGGGATGAGGTAGGAACAGGGGCAGATGATGGGAGAGGCAAAGCAGCTACCGCCTCCACTCGATAATTATGTCGTGTTCCATAGGTTCAGTCCTTAGCATCCTAGCCATGCTTATTTCCCCCAGGGATGCCTTTGCAGTTGGGCCACTGATGAGCAGAGTTTAAGAAGTCACATCGGAGGCTAAAATGCCTTTATCTGCCACCCTGGGCCCATAGTTGTGTGTGTTATCCAGGGTCAGGCCAAGACCTCCCGAGAATGGCACCATGGTGTTCAGAAAGAAAGGAGCTAGCTCTGGTGAGGTTGCTTATGGGAGGAGGAAGCAGCCACAGACAGCTCTGTCCCTCAGGCTGTGAGGGTCACTCTTTCCCCTACCCAAGACTCTCAGACACTCATGCCTGTCTCCATGCTCTAAGTTCTCAACCTTCAAGTTTCTGTAGTGTGGTGCTAACTGAATGCATTGGAGTGAAGCGGTAGGTGCGCTTGCTCTAGTGTGTCTTTAGGCTCGACTCTGTCCTGGGAGACCTGTGGAGACAGAGACACGCCTGGACTTTTATAAAGGTCAATGTGGCTGTCCCTTCCAGTCTCATGGAGCAAGCAGGCCCATGCTAGCTTCTTGCCACCCTGGAAACAGTATTCTCTCACTCTGCTCAAGCCACCAAAGAGTCACCATTCTGAAACAATATGGATGAAATGTTGGGGGCAAGCAAAAGAGAAATGGTTTATGGTAGAGAACCTGGGGTACCCCACTTTTAGCAGGCAGAGCCACGGAACTTCCACTCCGTGGGAGAGAGGAACTTGGCCTTTTCTTCTACTCCAGGATAACATGGGCTGAGGAAAGTTAAGGCTGGAGAAGGAAACCTTTGTTTTTGACTAATGCATTTCCACCTAGCTGCACCTTGGAATTATGGTTGTGTTTAAAATCACTGTACCCAGGATTTTGGGGACATGCCCCAGGCGTGAGTTGTTTGGAGAGCTCTCAGGTGATTTCAATGTGCATTCAAGGTTAGAGCTGCAACTGAAGCCTCACCCACCCCATGGGGCACAGGGAGAGGGAGTGGGGAGGACAGTAGTCTTTGCAGAGCTCTGCAAAGTGGTCTTAGCAACACTGTTTCTCTTTTTCTGCAGGAAGGGTCCTGTAGAAACAAAGTCTGAGCCCCAGGAGTCAGAAGCAAAGCCAGCGCCAACTGAAGTCAAGACGGTCCCCAATGAAGCCACACAAACAAAAGAGAATGAGAGCAAAGCATGATGGGTACCAAGCAACAAGCAAAGATCAAAATAAAAAATGACACAGCGGCTTCACCAGAGCATCCCCAAATAATCTCTTCCCCCCCCCTTCTCTCTCTCTCTCTCTCACACACACACACACACACACACACACACACTCACTCATTCCTCTAGTGTCTTTTGCCTTTAAAAAAAGAAACAACAAAAACAGATAAACATGGGATTGCCTTTTTGTAGGTTTCTAGAAAGGGCTCCTTTGTTGCACACTCACTTGTTAAGAAAAAGAGACAAAAAGGTTAAACACACAGCCAAACTAGGACACTCTGTTCCCTGAAACCATTCAAAAATCAAACAAAAGGGCCCCAAATTAAGAATCTAGGAAGCTCAGATTGAAGAAGAAAAAAAAAGAAAAGAAAAAAATCTAAGCTCGGAAAGGCTGCAATTGGTGTTACCCAATTGGCACAGATTAGTTTCAGAAAAAAATGCTTCCAAGAACTTAGACTAACCGAATGAACCAAGTCCACAGATTATTTTTATACTTTCAGTCAAGTTGGGACTCTGTAGAACCTCACAAATAAGTTATACTTTCCGTTCACTTTGTATTTGTTCTGTATGCAAAGTGTGGCACTCTAGCTAGCTGCGTTCAGTTCCCACGTAGACTCCTGTTTCTTAGGAAGAATGCCAAATCACAGCTTATTCGACTTCTTTCGTTTTGGTTTTATTTTTCCTCCACTGTTTCTTTCCCTTTCTTCCTCTCTTCCAAGGTTGCTTTCCAGTGTTTACAAGTTGACAGACGTTTGACTTTGGTTGTGTTTAATGTCCGTGTAAAATAGCTGCCCCCCCCACACCCGTGTTTTTTCTTTAAGCAACAGATATCCCATAGAGGCAGGTAGAATCCTCCCAGGTTGCTTTTAGCACGGGTGAAGGTTACAAAAGACGATTGTTTACAGTGGCTCTATCTCCCCAACCATCCCCCACCCACTGCAGTTTTTACCTGTGTCAAACTGGGGTGAAAGCCTCTCCTTCTGAAATGATTTTGCCTTTTTTTTTCCTGTTTAATTCTGTTGCTATTTCTTAGGGGGAGATGGGGAATGTTAGACCACTTTCTGATGAGCTGCCACCTGCCTGTGTCTGTGACACTGGACCTGCCTCCCAGGTGTCTGCACACCCTTCCTCTGAAGGACTCCTTTGGCTTTGTTGAATGAAGCAGAGAAGATTGTATAGTTGGGGCTGGTCTTGGTGAACACACTTTTCTTTTTTGCTTTTTTCTTTTTATCTTTTTTTACCCCAGACACCTCCTTTTTGTAGAAAGCCAAATAAAATGTATACATACCATTTCCTTTAGAGCCCAGAATCTAGATTGAGCGGAAGAGCGCGTGTGCTTCAGGGAAGTAGTGTCTCCTTTTGGAAATCTATTGAAGTAAAGTGACATCGGCCTTCTGTTCAGTTAGGCAACATTTGTAAAAAAAAAAACAAAACAACAACAACAAATACCGTCTGGAGTTATAATACAACTCTCCTGGATCGGAAACCAAGTGGGGGGAAAAATACAGAAACTTTCAGGGGATGGGAGGGCGGAGAAGGGAAAAACCAGCCCTTTGTATAGAAATTTTGCTTTTGTTTTTCATTCTGCTTTAGAACCGCAAGCTTGTGCACTGTGGATGCGTGAATATTTTAGTGTGAAACGTGTTTTTGTCATAGTATTGAAATAAAACTTCAACATAGTTTGGTTGTGGAAGGTATAGCAGATAGTTCAGAAGAAAACAACTATTCAGGAAACAAAACGAAACAAACAAACAAATCCCCAAAAGAGAAAGGAATCAAAGCCTTTCAATAGGCCATAAAACACAACAGTGCTGAAGAAGAGGACACTAAGCAGACAGATGTCCCGACAGCACAAATTCCTTTCCCAAGTAAGAAGCAACAAGAGGTTAGGGTGGCCAGATGCACCGTGTTCACTCTGTGGGCCACACACCCCCACCCCCCAGTGTTCTGACACTTCTGCAGTGTGACCAGTGGTAATGCTAGGTTATAATTTCAAACTGTGAAAAATAATGGTCTTGTCATTTGCTCAGTGTGGGATTATTTTGCATTTTCTCAGCTCCTGGGGATGGAAATGGAGGTTCCCAGAACACTCAGCCCAGCCCCTTTCATTCCAGGGCCTACACAGATCCACAGTTCACATGCACTGGTCCTCAGGAAGAGCTGTCGGGTAGATAACTCTGAGAGCACATAGCAGAATGGGAAAGATGGGTAGCACCTGAGCCAGGTCCTCATGGTGAGGGACAGACTCCTCGGACCACAGCCTGTCCTGCAGAACCTTGGAATCTGTTTCCCATTATGGTGAAGTTGGTGGCTTGACCAGCTAGGCCTAGGGCACACTGTACCCCCTGGAAATGGTGTATTTCACTCTGTTTGTGCTTGGACACACTGAGCTCAACTCTGAGGATAAGAAGAGACAGAGGTATGGCCAACCCCAAAATAATGTGGCCCAAAGTAGCTGACCCCCAGAACACTGGCCCTGCCATTTGCTGGAATCCATGACTGCCTACACTTTGATATGCTTCTCTCTTTATACATATGTTTGTCTCAGTTTGCCTCAGCATGCATCAGTTTTCCTTTCTTCTTTTTTCTGTTTCTTTTTCTTTTTCATAGCAGTACTCTCTCTAAAATTAAAGACAGAGACAGTATATTTCCCACCTGTTCTTTTATGTGAAGAAATAAGCGCTTAGTTTTCTGTACAGTGTTTTTTTTTTTCATTTTTGTTTGTTTGGTTTTAGTTTTTGGAAGGAGGGATGGACTCCACCAGTGTTGGTGTCATTGTGTCCTATGTCTACATGGCATACATTGTATCACATAAAGACCAGCATGGCCAAGTTCTGTGGGAAGGCTACCCAGGTGCCATGAATGGGGTCTCCCAGTCCTGAAGGGCCAAGGTGTATCCAACAGGAGTCTATGTTCTCATTTTCTATGGAACCTCCCACGTCCTAGGGTCTCACCCTCAGCTGTCCGTCTGGATGGAGGTGATCGCACCTCATTAACATCCCTTACCCAGCATCCTGTACTTCGGGGGCCTTCTCTCTTGTTATAAAATCTTTTTACTGAGTGAAACATCAACACCACCGTTGTTTCCGTTCTCACTGCTGTAAATACTGAGTACTAACTGAGAATTTTGACTTTGCATTCTGTCAGAATACTTGTGTTCAATAAAAATTGAAAGAAAAAAAAAGCAACTATAGTCCAACTGGGATTTCTTTCTGTTCGGTGAGAGTAGTGTGCCCACATTCTAGTTTTTGGGTTTTCTTTGGGTTAGTTGGATTTAGGGCAGAGTTTGTGGTTGCTTTGGTTTTAGCATCTAGTAAGCAACATTAGTGCGTCTTAGACACATGAAAGAGCTCAGCTCTGTAATCCTTGTATTCAGTAGACTGAGGCAGGAGAATTGCCATGAATTTGAATTTAGATACTGGTTCTGTCGCTTCCTAGATGACCTTGGAAGAATTATTTAATCTGCCCAAGATTCAATTTTCTCTTTTGCTGGACAGGAAGTCCTCAGGGCTTAGATGTTGATACTGATTGAGGAACAACACAGTGTGTGCGTGTGTGTGTGCGTGTGTATGTGTGCCTGACATAGTGTTTTCTTGACTCATAATGGGAACTCACAAAATAAGAATTAATGTTGTTCCTATCACCCAGGTGCAGCACCATCAAGCATAGTTATATCAGCCAACACCTGAGCATCACAGTCACAGCCATGAGGTGGATGCATGAGGCATTTTACAGAACTATTCAGCCCTGGGAATTTGTTAAAGCAGACAAGAGTACAAATTCTCTGGCATCTGCTGCCAACTGACTCTTTGCAAACAAACTCTACAGTTAAAAGTGTCCATTAAACTATGGATCTGATTCCTGAAGGAGCCCTGGCTGCAAGCTCTGGGTGAGACTCTATGTTCTCACTATGGAACCTCCTACATCCCAGGGTCTCACCCTCAGCTGTCCGTCTGGATGAAGGTGATCGCACCTCATTAACATCCCTTACCCAGCATCCTGTACTTCGGGGGCCTCTCTTGTTATAGAACCTTTTACTGAGTGAAACATCAACACTACCGTTGTTTCTGTTTCCATTCTCACTGATATAAACACTGAGAAAGTATTTACTGAGAGAGGTATACAGGTCATAATATATAAGCCGGGACCCACTCAGGGATTACTTTGCTTTTGCACAAATCCGAGGGTGACATCTCCTTCACCTTGTGCCCAGTGTGCATGCCTCACTTGCTTATTCTCATGAGATCAGTTATCTTGGTGGATGGGGTGCAGGGGACTTGCACCTCTTCTGTTTTATATCCTAATAGCAAGTCACATGCATCCATGCGATTTCTTTTACCACAGAGTCCCAGCTGCAAATGGCAGGGATGGGTGGGAAACAAAAACCTACAGCTTATTCAGCACTGGACAAGACATGCAATGAAGACTGTCTTCGTTGACCCATGGAGCTGGTTTCCAGAGCTTCTTTCTGCATTATTTTTCTATCAGACCCGCTTTGAAGTATTGAATATCTCCAAGATGTTCCAGCGAGCAAATCAACTCTGGTGGAAGCTACATTTATGTATGAAAATAACATGTCATACACACATATACATATGCACACATGCACACATATATGCACATACACAAACAAACACACGCATACCACAAACACACATACACAGACCACACACAGATACACAAATCTCACTCATACACACATACACACACACATACATACATACCACACATACACATGCACATACATATGTACACACACATGCACACACATACATACACATATATACACACACATACATACACATATACACACACCACACACAACTCACACATTCACACACATCCACACACACACATCACACACACATTCACACACATACACACACAAAACCCACACATTCATGCACGTGCACACACATGCACACACACACGTACACACACATGCACACACGCACACATGCACAACGCACATGCACACACCTAATGGAGCAGTTGTCAGAATGGCATACACTATCACTCCATTTTTTCTTCCTTCAGGCACATGGTGGCCTTGTACTTCTATGCTCACTTCAACAGGTATGACTGAGTGACTGACACTGGTTGGTTAAGTATAAGCAGAAGTGTGTGGCAACAGGCCCACAAATAGTGAGAACAGATCTGGGTAGGAGGGTATGTTCATATGTTTATTATCATTCTTGCTGATATAAAGAGTATGGTATGCAAATACCGTGTGCACATTGCTGACACCCTGTTGACAGAGAATTCTTTGGTTCATCTGTGTTGACAGTGTATACCTATAGTTAGCCTATGGTTCCAATTCATTAATGAGTGTATTTCCAATCTGGATATTGATTGATTTGTTTACTTGTATTAGGAAGGGTTCTCCAGAAAAACAGAACCAATAGAATGTCTCTATCCTTCCCTCTGTCCCCACTCCCTCGATCTCTCCCTCCCTCGTCTCTCCCTCCTCCCCCTCTTTCTCACACACAGGGTTTATTACATTGGCTAACGCAATAGGAACTGGGTAGATGCAACAAAGTCCACCTGCACACTTGAGGAGGAGCGAGTCAGATGCAAAGTCGAGGAAGGAGGATGCTCGGCCATTCTCCTCCAATGCTGAAAGCCTGAAAGGAATCTGGAGAGGTGTTGAGCTCACTCGGAAAGCCAAGGAAGCTGGAGTCTGGTGGCAGCAGGCAGCAGCAGGAGACTCAGTCACTCAGAAAAGACAGGCCCGCTGGCCCGCCCATGCTCTCCTTGTTCGTTTCCACTTCTTTCCAGAAGTTTGCCACTGGAGGATTCTCCCCCTAGTCTACCTGGGTCATGTCCTAGCTGTCACTGTCCAGTCTGCCAACCTGTTCTGGAAATGCCTAACTAGACACACAGGTGTACCCCATCAACCCTAGGTTCCTCTTAGTTCATCAACCTGACAGCTCAAACTATCTCAGGTTTTTAAGCAAGGGAAAGTGAAACAGGAAAGATAAATTTCAGAATGACACTCATGTATCAGTGGCATGAATGACATCACTGGTTTGAGCATCAGTTCTGAATGTGGTATGCATTTTTGGCTAG